ACTGTATAACTGTCTATTTTGAGATACTTAATATATTTCTGTTTTACTCCCCCCTTTAAAAATAAATCTGTAATAAAAAAATAAAAATAACTTCTGAACTTGTTAACTTTTATTATATTTGGTGTCATTTCCTCAGATTAAGTTATAAACCATTTTATAGAGTATCTGCTCTATTACATATTTTTATTTGGTATCATGTAGTCATAGAAATATGAATGTGCTATTTAAATAAATATTTCATATTGTTTTTATTTTATATACACACTTTAGAAATTATAGTACTACATTCTTCCCCCCAGAACTAAGAAGTAGGAATAGTAAGATTGCCTTTAAAAAGTTAAATTACAATGAATCAGAGCAGAGATAAATGTCAAATCAATTCACCTGACTGAATGTATTAACATATATAAAGAAAAATGTGTTAACCAAAGAGCTTGCTGTCCAGTCCCAGAGGCAAAATCTCATTGCTATGTCTCAGTGTAAATTAATAAATTAATTAAATGAAGAATTCACTTATTGTAATTTGACTTCCTATAAAGATTGCTCATGGGGAGAAAATGGCCTTGTCAAGCAGATACAAATATTTCGGTTTTTGAGGCAATCACATTTCTCCTTGTAAATTGAATTGACATTTAGTCTCAAGATTCTGTTTAACATTAGTCTGCCACTAAGAGATAAATTCTCTAACCCTACAAAATCAGGTTTTGGAATATGTAAGGCTTTTGGTCAGACCTTCCCACCGGACCCTGCTGCCTTGGGGACTTTCAGTAGACAGCTATGTCGTTTTTCTCCATAAAAATACTCACGATTAATTCAGTTAAATCAATCTTTTCCTTCACAATTTCCCTTACTGCTTCTACATATAGAGACTATATTCCCTCTAGAGACTTGTAAAATACTAAATTTTATTATTTCTATTGTTTGATATTTTAAGCACTTACCAATTTAATTCATTCAGTTAATGCAATTTGCATATCAAGAAGAGTTCACCATTCATTCATTTATTCATTCATTCATATCATAACACTTTCTCAAGTAACTACTAAGTGAAAATATAGACTTTGTCAAGTGCTAAAAAGATAACAATAAGGATTTCTGTCTAGTGAAGAAAATAAACTATTTGACAGTGTTTTGATAGGTCAGCTTGCTGTGGGAGTTAGAAGTGGGAATCCTGTACAAACTGAGGGGGTAGGGGGAGAGAGAATTGAGGATGAAGAAATGGGAGATTTGTGTGTGGGGGAGGGAAAGGTGCAGGGAGGTGGTGAGGGGGAATAGAAGGAACATTTCAGAAAAGGACCAAAGCTCCAGAAATTAAGGAGTGTAAGGCTTATTTGGGCAAATTGAATAATCTATATATAAAAGCCTAATATGCAAATTATCCCCGTGGCAGCCAGGGAAGGGAGGTCCCAGCTAGCAGTTGGAAGGCCTCAAATGACTCTGATCGCTGGCCAGGCCTAAGGACCTTACCACTGTTTGAATTTTGTGCACCGAGCCTTTAGTTATATTATAAAATAAAATAAAAAGCAGGAGTGAGGGGTGTAGAGGTTCTCAAAGGGTTTGAATAGAGAGGAAAGCAGAGATGAATTATGACCTTGGTTATTTCAAAGATCACTTGCAGGCTTATCCCTACTGAAATCCTTGTCTATTGTGTTTTTAACTTTTTTTATAAAGGGCCAGATAGCAAATAAGCCAGAAGGTCTCTGTCACAGCTATTCAACCTGCTGTTTTAGCCTGAAAGGAGTCCTAAACAACATACAAATAGGTGTGGCTGCATTACAATAAAACTTCATTAGTTCAACAGACAATAGGCTGAAATTGGCCATGGGCCATAATTTATTCTTCACTGGTATAGCAGACTTTCCTAAAAATAATAGGTAATCATGCTTTTAAGTAACAAAGGTCAAATAAAAAGAAACATTAATGAGTAAGGTGATTAATATCACATATAACATATTCCAATGCTTTCAACAGAAAACGATAACCTCAAAATTTTCAAAACTTGTAAAAATAAAAACTTTGTACTTGTATACCATTTTAAAGAATGCACTATTTCTAACTTTCATAATGATCTGAAAAATACATGAATCTTGAAGGAAGGATTCGTATATTATTCAAACTTTTCCAGGAACCCATTTAAATGCCTGGTACAGAAAAGTTATGTGAAGATACATTTAAGAGCAAATATCATTTTCCCTTTTAAGCAGCTGTTAGGTTAAATGTCCCAATAAGGCCCATAAACAAACAGTGTCAGAGGCAGAACCAGTGTCCAATAACCTGTCTCATGGATTTTAATTTATTTTTCATATCTACAGTCACAGATATGAAAAAGAACACAGAGCTAACCATGTAGTATAATTAATATTGCATAAATACACAAAGATTATTAAAATGACTTTTATGGAATGAGCTATTGTCTTTGCTCAAAACTCTTCAACTAGGAAATGCCTCTGCCCCTCACTCCAGAAATACCATGTACATGCAAGTGACACTGTCTTTGGCCCAAGCTATTAAGACCATAGATGGACAACGTAACTCAAATGAAATCAAAGGAGGAGTTCCCTGGATATTTAGACCTGTCACTGAGAAGGAGACTATAAAATAGAAACCCGAGCATTATTAAAACACATGTTTTATCATGCGAATTGGAAAACAGATATCTATATTTCAACAAAAGAAAAGAATGCAATAGTTTACGGAGAGGCTTTTGTGTAAAGCTTGGAGAGAGATTACTAAGCAGAGTTGAGTTAGTCCAGCTGTTCTATTAATAGATGCCTACACATATCCTTACCCCTAGGATCATAGGAAATCCTGTGGTTCCTACCTACATCATCATTTCCATTTTGGTTTGTGTTTCTGTTTTTAGCCAATTACAAAGTAATGACTAATACAAAAGAGTCATTAGAGGGACACATGGTCAATGTTTATCTGTGTTTACCTGATTTGAATCTGGAGAGAGTCTACATTGATAAAGTTAACAGGAGAAATAAGACAGCTACCAAAAAAATACAAACAAGCATTCTTTAGGTACAAGGTAAATATTCCCCAATGGAGAAAAATCCGTCTGACAAAACATGTTACTTAATAGCAAAGAAACCATAGCCATTATTCACAACCATATAATGAGCTGGCTAAATTCAGAGGAAATTCTGACCTGCAGTCTGACAGAGAAAATGGATTGTGGATGTTCAGAATGACAAAATGAACTTTTCTCCATGAGCAAAGCAGAGTAGTTGAAAGAGCCTGTTGGCCTGTCCCTTTTTTCTGTATCCATGCATAGGTGATCAAGGATTGACAAAATATGGTCACACTTCTGTAATTGATTTATAATTGAAAAGTATTTATTTGACAGATAGGCATAGACATTCCAAACATATGTAGCCATAGAAAATTCATTAGAGGACATATTCCCCTTCAAAATCCCACAAGCATAAGGAATTGGGGGGGGGGGGGGGGGAATTCAGCCGTTCTGTTTGGAATAAATATACATTCTAAAGAATCCTATAAAAGCATCAGCAGGTGTGTCTGATTAACATGTCTCCTCATTTAAATATATAATGTGATCTTGTAGGTTAGTGGCTCTCAAAGTCTCAGGAATAACAACATCAGCATCAGCTGGGAACTTGTCCCACTCAAGACCTACTGAATCAGAAACCCTAGCTGTGGGGCCGGCCATCTGTGAATCTAATGCATACTGCTATGGACTGAATTATGTTCATTCATCCTCCTCTCCCTATCAAATTTATACGTTGAAGTCAAAAACACCATTGTGATGATATTTTGAGGTAGAGTTTTTAGGACATAATTAGGTTTAGATGTTATTATGAGGATAGGGTCCTCATGATGGAATTAGTATCCTTAAGAGATCAGAAAGCTTATTCTCTTAGTTCAAAAATTGTCTGCTTTGTATCTCATTCAAAGAAAGAAAAACATGTTGGGACACAAAATCCAGTAGCCTTACTAGTATAAGTAATATCTTTGCTATTGTATATAATAAAGAGATAATATGCAAATTGACCATCACTTCAACATACAAGATGACCACCCACAAGTGGTCAAAGATAGCTGCCCCCATGTGGACACAAGATGGCTGCCCCAAGATGGCCAGAAGGGGAGGGCAGTTGTGGGTGATCAGGCCTGTAGGGGAAGGCAGTTAGGGGTGACTGGGCCAGCAGGGGAGGGCAGTTTGGGGGAAGGAACCAGGCATGCAGGGGATCATTGTTGGGGGGGATCCAGACCTGCAGGGGAGGACAGTTAGGAGTGACAAGGCCTGCAGGGGAGCAGTTAGGTGTCAATCAGGCTGGCAGGAGAGTGGTTAGGAGATGATAAAGGCTGGCAAGCAGAAGCATTTAGGGGCAATCAGGCAGGCAGGAAGGCAAGTAGTTGGCAGCCAGTAGTCCTGGATTTTGAGAGGGATGTCCCAGATTGGAGAGGGTTCAGACTGGGCTGAGGGGCACACCCCCTGCCTCCATGCACAAATTTCATGCACCGGCCCTCTAGTTTCTAAATAAATGTCACTATAGTTATCTTGTATCTCTTACTAGAAGATAGGATGTTTGGTCATCTATTTTTGTGTTTATGATATTATAAAATATCTTCTCCTCCACCTCCTATATCATTGAAAGTCACTGTACTATGTTTTCCAATTTGTGTGTTAGCGTGTCAAGAATATAATAAATCATTTGTTATAAAATTTTCTAAATAGTATGCAAAATCTATATAACATTTAAAAGCTTGTAGCTGTTGAGTTTTATAGTCATTGAAATATAATCTTAGAAGTGTTCTCATATACATAACTTACATAAATGTTAAAACAGAGAGAATAGATTTTAATCTTCAGCTTTGACTTATGCTATGCTTGTAACTTAACTCTTCAGTGGGTGATGCTAGAAAGTTTAAAATATATCCCAATAGTTGACCTTATTGAGAAGTACTAAAATGATTTTTAAAGCATTAGGAAACAGTGTTAATATGTAACTAACCCCTGCTGACTTTGGTTACAGCTCCACCTCGGACAGTGCGACTAGTCGACGGCAGTGGCCCTCATGAAGGCAGAGTGGAGATTTTCCACAATGACCAGTGGGGCACAGTTTGTGATGACCACTGGGAGCTGCGCAGTGGACTGGTCATCTGCAGGAGTCTGGGCTACCGCGGTGTTTTAACTGTGCACAAGGGAGCCAGTTTTGGACAAGGTAATTTTAAAAAAAATATATTTTATTGATTTCATAGAGGAAGGGACAGGGAGAGATAGACACATCAATGATGAGAGAAAATCATTGATAGGCCGCCTCCTGCATGCCCTACTGTAGATGGAGCCACACCCAGGAATGTGCCCTGACCAGGAATCTAACCCTGACCTCCTGGTTCATAGGTCAATGTTCAACCACTGAACCACACTGGCTGGGCAGACAAGGTACTTTAAAAAAAATTATCATTGTTGTTGAGAATATTACAGATTTTTAAAATTTTTTTGTTTTAATGAAGCGCAGGCATACTCTAATATGTAGAAGCAAGTAGAGATAGATACTTATAGCACAGGAAGAAAAATTGTGTCTAGGATTTTTTAAAATGGCCTTTTCTAGGAAGTAGAAGAGAAAGGGACATTAAAATCAAGTGATACATGCTCTCAGACAAATTTTAATATGTAAATTTTATGTAAATTCAATTGGTTAGTTGCAGGGTACTAACAGAGGAAAATAGAGGGATTGGCAAAGTAGGACAAGTGAATTAATAAGGTGACTTAGGATCTATAAAGTGGACAGCTCATTTCTAATAGAAGGCAGCTGTCATCCATGCTGATTACTCACTGCTAGGTGATGGCTAAGAACTCGTCAGTTTTGGAAATAACAGCATGTGATGATGATCTGAATTCTTAGGATGTGCTTTTGTTGACAAAATGGAATATAGTTTGCCAGTTGTCCAGATCATTCAACCAATATAGACTGACTGAATAGCTCAACCCAAAAAAAGAAAAATACTCTAAAATAGCTTTTATCAAGATGACTTACACTTTACATGTCCAAAGAGTTGACAACTTTGCATTTATTGTAGCTTTGTATCTCTAAGGAACAAGCCTCATGGTACAACTTATTAACTTCTTATATCCCAGATGGTAAAATCGCCACTGTTTCAACACTGCATTCACCTTAAGACCTAGTCTCACAAGTAAAATATCCTTTGTTCCACAGCTTTTATTCATGCCTGCTTAAATCTTGAGGGAGTTTCTGGTCTAATGCACTGGCAAAAAAAAATAAAAAGAAAATTATTATAGAATACTGGCAAGAAAATGTTTTCTATTTAAATAAGTAATGAAACAATAGAGTTTAGTCTCATGTGAAATTAGTTTGTTTGTTTGTTTATTTATTTATTTATTTATTTGGCTACATGGAGGCAGTTTTCTTGAGATAACTGGCCAGTTCTCTAAGATGAATATCCATTTTTACTGAGGCTGTGCATTAGGGGACTCGGGGATGCTATATATTATATATTGCAATACATTATACTAGAGTTTTATTGATAAAGCAGCAAGGTATGCCAGAATTTTGTTGTCTGTATACATTTTCAAGCACCTGCTGAAATGAATCAGAAAGAACAGGCGTTTGATAATGAAGGAGATATGAGTTGAAACTTTAGTGCCGATACTTATGTTTCAGATGTCAATCTCTTATTTTAATAAAATGAAAATAGTAATAATACCAAGCCAGATTTATTTTGAATCTTAAAAGAGCTGGCATATAAAAGTGTCAAACCCTAGACGGTTTTGCTCAGTGGATAGAACATGACCCTGTGGACTGGAGGGTCCTGGGTTCAGTTCCAGTCAAGGGCATATACCTCTGTTGCATATTTAATCCCTTGCTCTGGTGGGACGCAGGAAGCAACCAATCGATGTTTCTCTCTCTCTCTCTCTCTCTCTCTCTCTCTCTCTCTCTCTCTCTCTCTCTCTCTGTCTCTCTCTGTCTCTTTCCCTCCCTACCACTCTTTCTAAAAACCAATGGAAAACTATCCTCAGGTGAGGATTGACAACAACAAAAATGTGTCCAGTATAAGGCCTGTCTGGTGGCACTGCACAACAGAGGCGGAGAGCACCCTCAATAGGCTACTTCCCATCCTCTGAGAGTTAGGAGGGCCAGGTCTGTGTGGCACTGAACAGTGGCAGAGTGACATTCCAAGGGTCACAGAGTTGAAGGTGACTTCGTACTGAACAGAGAGGGGTGTGACTGAATGTCCTAGGAACCGGGATAATCTCCCCTCTCCACCCAAGGAGACCCAGGTCTAGTCTGTGCTCACAGCATGGAATCCATACCAAACAAGGGAGGAATGAATGATTGTGAGAAATTTAAAACCGCAAAGCAAGATGAGCTGGGAGAGGTAGTAAAACACGGGATATTCATTCTGAAGAAAAAGTCCGAGACATAAATTTCACGATCTGCCTCATCGTATGTTTTGTTTTAAGAAACAGGCTTACTTTGTAAACTGATTTGGGATTAGACTTGGCAAACAACCTTTTTATGTAAAGCTGCTTACGCTCCCCCTTCCTTTCCCACTCCACCTTACATTTACAGGGTAGCTGGGGTGGAGGGGGAGGTGCAGGAAAAGCCATTGGAATGCAGCATAGAGACAGAAAACAGAAATATGAGTGGAATGGTTTGGGAGAGAAAAGGATGTATTAGAATTTAAATTATTTGTAATTTCTTAGTAAAGCAAGAATAATCAGATTCTCTCTCTCTCTCTCTCTCTCTCTCTCTCTCTCTCTCTCTTTCAATACAAACAAGAAGAAAAAAACACATTTGCATTAATTTTCTTTGTATAAGTCCCCATTAAAGAAAGAAAACCATTTTCTTCATGCAGTTTCTCCCTCCTCCCTCCCTCCCCCTGCCCCTCCTTCTCCTCTTCCTCCTGCTCCTCCTTCTCTCTCTCTCTCTCTCTCTCTCTCTCTCTCTCTCTCTCTCTCTCTCTCTCTCTCTCTTTTTCTCTCAGTTTTGAAATGGCAGACCTGGCTCACCAGAGAGAATCCTTGTTGGCTTTAAGAAGAATTAGTTTTGCAGCTGCAAGGAAAGTGGCTGATAGGAATAAAGCTTAAAGCATGCTCCCTTACATAGGTTCCTCCATTTGGTTGTGTCTTTTGCTAAAGTGGAATGTTCTTTTTCCCTCCCCCTCAGTAGACCAAAAGGTTAACTTTAGGAAGCATTGAGAAGCATTTTGCCTGTCACTGCATGGGGCAGGGAAGTAGAGGGCGATCACTTCCTCCCTGGGCAGGCTCTCCCGTCCCTTGTCCCAGTGGTCTCCCTGCAGCAAACCTGGGTGAGCTTTGCCAATGGTGGTACCTCCTGGAACGTGTTCTAACCCACCTGAGCCCCCGTGCTAATGCAGGAAGCATATGCTGGGCCAGGAGCAGCTACTATCTCCTCTTCTCCTCAGTTTACAGAAGTTTGTCCTGAAGCCCCAAACCTGAGAGCAGAAACAAAAGACAGTTCTAGATATACCACTAAATGTCATATGCTATTCATCACTCCTATCCCGTTGCATAATCAAATTTCTAAGTGGACTTTAAAATAAATACAAGAATAAGCCGAAGGAGATCAAAGGTATAGCTAACTATGCTTCTCAATTAAGCTTTAGTAAATAGGAGTAAAAAACAATATCAAAGATAAGTAAAATATCTCAACGGATAGGAGCTCAAATTCCTGCATACTATACATTGCATATTGACAGCTTTAAAAGAAGTCTGCATGTTGGATCTTATGGAACCTGATATGGAGCCTATAGAGTTCTTAGCACATCTGTTTTGTTACTATGGTAACAAAGACAGTATGAAGTAGGAATAATATTGTTTAGCAAGTGCTGATTACATGACTTCATTTAATGCACATTGTGCTTGTGAAAAATAGATATTATAGCCCCAATTTTTCATAGAGAAACTAAAGCTGTCACAAAATTTGCCCAAGTTTACGTGGCTATTATGATGTGTTGTTTTGTTTTTGTTTTTGTTTCTTTGGGGGGAGAAAAGAGTGTTCTATTATTGTCATAACCTGTCTCTTCACTAGACAAAATGTTCTAAGTTCTTTATGCTTAAGAACTTCATGTTGGAAGAGCTTGCTTCTTCAAATCTTAAAATCATAGATTTTTTAAGAGGTAAATGAAATTTTAGAGGTACTTCAGCCATATCCCTTTATTTTGCATGTCTAATACAGTAGGAGACATGTGTGACTTCTTTAAAACCACAAAACTAGAATCCAGAATGTTAGACTGTTTCATCATTCTCTATTCTGATTCCCATTCCATTTTCACTTTGATCTGAAACACAATGATTTTCTTGAGAGGCTGTTGACAAAGTACTTCCCTACTAGAAGTCTTAAAATGGATGCAAATGCATGTCACTCAGCCATAACTAGATTTCATTCACATTCAGGCAGAGATTGTTAACCACGTGATTTTTACTCCCACAGATATCAATTCAGCAGCTAGTCTAAAAATCTCATCACATTGCTATATATCTGGCTAATATATAAAATCTGATTCCCTTTCCCCCCCATAAAAGTTTTGAGTTAGTGATGAGTATATTAAATAAACTCAGTCCCTCAAAGAACAACACTATCTGCATTCTTTTCAAAGAAGAGATGAAGGGAAAATGGCATTTTCTATCAAACATGCTCTCAATCATCACAGACTAGGGGTGTCAAACTCAATCAGAGAAGGGGCCAAAATCTAAAATCCAGCCTAAATCGTGGGCCGAATGGTTTACTGAACAGTCATAAACTGTCATTGTGATGGAAACGCAGCGGAGTGCAGTGATGACAGCGCGGTGCGGGCCACATTGCAAGGCCTGCCGGGACGGATTTGGCCCGCGGGCTGTGTGTTTGACACATGTGTCACAGACCAAGCTCATGAACCCCAGAAGCCACGGACAGTGCCTTCATTATGTCTGCTTTTGGAATACCAAGTCAGTTTGTCCCGACGCAGCCCTCAAATATTAAAGGAATTGAAGCTGTGCAGAGGATTAGGTGGATGACAGATAGATAGATAGATAGATAGATAGATAGATAGATAGATAGATAGATAGATGATAGATAGGATTAGAGAATGAAAACATCTATAACATACTCATCAATTTTGCATAAGTTCCCACGAAAAAGAAAGAATAGTTTTGAGGCAAAAAATAAAAATGACACCAGCCGCAACAAAATCCTCGAGTAACAGTTATTACCTGAAGAAATAAAAACAAATTCGCTTTTTTTTTTATCTTTGAGGTTCAGATGAAGATAAAATCGTATTAATTTTATGCCACCTTAGCATTAATTTTTAATGCAGAAACCAATTTGGAAGGATATGGGAAATGTGTATTAAGTAAATTTTTCCCTTAGGCTCAATAGTCCTGAATAAATTAATATAAAAATAAAATGACAAATCTTTGAACATTACTTTTATAACTCTTATTTGGGCTCCTATGTAGTCAATAAATATCACCAAGCTATAAAGGGCATTATGTTCTGTTGCTGGCTCTGTTCTCCTTGAGAAAGCCAAACATCCTTTCTGAGTCTGTTTGTCTACCCATGATATGGAGATAATTACCATTATTTTACAACATTATTAGAAGAGTAAATTTTTTTTAAATCATATGTGGAAAGGCTTAGTATGTTCACTGGGTCTGAGTCTTTTCCACATAGAAAAGACCTGATTACCCACCAGCACAATCTGATTTTCACATCAGTGGGGTCAGAGTTAGGAGTTCTACATGCCAGGGTCAGCTCTGCCACTAACTACATACGTGAGCCCAGTTGCTCCATTTGCCTAAAGCAGAAGTCCTCCCTAGGAAGTCAGGTCAAGAGGAAATGGATTTTGATTTTGTTCACTCACGTAGATGCTCAAAACATCTGCTGAACAACCCAATGAATAATGCAGAGCATTGCAGTGAATCACTGATTGAAACCTGGCTCTAGACGGATGCCGGGGAATGCTCCACCAGGCATTAACTACGTGACCTTGACCAGCGTTACCTGTTGTCTCCGATTTTTACTTTCCTCTCCAGTAAAATGGCACATAGAAGCACTTAACTTTTTACGGTTTCTTGAGGATTCAATGAGATAACAAATCAAAAGTACTTTGAGTGTTTCTGCCTACATTGTAAAGTCTTCCAAAAGTGGGCTGAGATATTCATGCTTAATACCCCAGAATGGTATTCTAACATTCATGGATTCCTCTGCTGTGGTTTCTAAAAACAGACAATCCCTGTATGAACATTTCAAGCTCACATGAGTTTACCAGGTCCCCCTTTTACAATTGACCAACCAGTCCAGGATAGCCTTTGTTTTTCCAATAAATGGTTTGAATCCTAATGATTTCATTTCTCTTATATTAAATGAAAAATACAATGTTCCTAGTTCCCTCAGTAATGTAAACCAAAATATAATTTCGTCTTGTATTTGGATCTTTCTAGTGAAGGCACAAATTATACAAAAATTAAGTGATTGTACCAATTTATGTTACATGTGGAAATCAAAATTTCTTGTCTAATGCAACAAGTAAATAAAAACATGAGTCATCACAGAAAATGTCTACATCAAGATCCTATTAAGTTATAGACTCCTCAATTTAACTTCCACATTTATGGTAGGCACAGTTCTAAAATGTAGTTCTGATTATGTCATTTCTTGTTGTGACTTAAAATTTAAAATATTTTATAGTGTGGTCCTAGCTTTTTATCACCTTCCTTCTTCCTCATTAATATACTTTGTGTTTGGATGCCAGCATGGTCATGTTGTCCCCACTATATGGAATGACTTCTATTTTATGCATGAAAACCTCTATCCACTTTTTAAGAGTGGGTCAAATTTTATCTACATTGTGATTACAAAATTCCCAATACCTGCTAATTTATTCTTATATTATATTTATATCTGACTATATTATTGTACACATTAATAATCATGCACATCTTGTTAACTTATGGAGCTAACAGAATATTTGAAAAATCAGGAAGAATAATGCCATTGTATGTGCTTTACATATGCCTCTGAAAAACAAGGTTTTATTTAACTCTGTTTTATAGTGACCCAAAGACCTGTTTGCAAGTTGAATTTAGTATTTCTAAGTACATTTCATATAGCTCTTGTGACTGAAAGAGGACCTTTTAACATATTGATCCAAATGAAAAAGCCCTCCACCAGTTTTGCAAAGGTGCTTCCTGAAATTTAGCTGCTAAATCAACAGTTTCCTAATGGCATGAAATGTTCTTGAAAATTCATTAGGAGGTTTGCCATATTGTATGTTCCACAAAACCCAATGAAATCATTCATTTAGAAGTTTTCAAAGGTTCTGTTTTTAGATGTCATAAGCCTAAAAGAAAGGAGAACTTTAATAAATGAAACACTTAGAAAATTTTTTAGAAAACATTTCAAAACCTTCTTTATTAAAGTTATCTTTTCTTGCAATGAATTCCTTTCTTTGGATTTTAGTATTTTACACATTGACAAAATATAAAGTTTTCTGTGGCAGGGTACTGATTTTTTAATCCTAATGATCAACACATTCTGTTAAATTAGTGAGTAAATAAATGGCTTTGTTTCATTCAAATATAAAAACTAAACTATACTTCCTAATAATGCAATTGTATCTGATTTCTGTAGGTACTGGTCCAATATGGCTGAATGAAATATTTTGCTTTGGGAGGGAATCATCTATCGAGGACTGTAAAATCCGACAGTGGGGTGTGAGAGCCTGTACCCATGCCGAAGATGCTGGAGTCACTTGTGCTTTATAACGTATTATATTTCATTCACATTTATGAAATTGCTGCAAAATGATTTTTATTACTTTTCTCCATTAAATTAGTTTAATGAATATTTAAGAGATTAAGAATATTGCCCCAAAATACAGAATATTTAAAAGTCACTGGATAAACATATTAAAAACCTTCATAATTATTATATGTTTGTTTTTGAACCATTTTAACATCTAAGTTGCCGAATGGAATTCTATAATGATTTATACATTGAATTGCATATACTGAATTTTAAGATTCTAGATTATAAATGTCAGTAATATGGAAACAATCTCAATCAATGGTTCCAATTCATATCTTCACCAGGAGATTTTTATAGTTTTTTTCTTCTTTGTAATCTATTTAGTTGATTTTAATTGAATAACTTTCTGAATAATGAAAAGGTTGAGAAAATTTCTTTGGTGTCAAGTTCGCAAAATATTTAATTGATGCATATTTTTAAAGAAAAAAATCTTACCCAGCTGTCTAGATGTCTAATGAGCAATAACTTGGCTGTAAATGGTACATTTTGGTCATGTAAAACTTTTATCAGAAGGTTTTGCAAGATTATGTATTAACATGGTAAATAATAACATACTTAATAGCATATTTATTAACAATAATAATGTGGTTGTTTTACATGGTAATGTACTGAGAGTTTTTTTTTTAAGTATATGTTATTGATTTCAGGGAGTAAGATAGAGGGAGAGAGAAACAAACTCATTAGTCAACAGAGCCGCAGTTTGCCGACCACTGTTCTAATTTGTAGAGAAATGAGATTGTTTTTAATTATTTTGGCTGTTTAACTGTGCTTTCTGAGATTTAAACATAGGTTTTTAGAATTACATCAAGTATCAAACTCTCCCTCTGTAGGTTTTTCTATAAAAATGTCAAGTACGCAAGTGATTTTAAAGAAGGGAATATACTATATCATTGTTAATAACTCTAGAATTGAATGAGACCGTTAAAGCTCTTTGAGGTTCCCTGAATGAAAAACTCTATTATACTCCTTGCTAGAGTAATTTTAGGTAATGGAGGAAAAGCAAACTGAAATACATTTGTTAATCACCCATTAAGGATCTCCCTAGGGGCCAAGTAAGTTCAATCAAACCTGTGAAACATTCCAATTACTTTCAGAAAAATCTTTGATACTTCATACTTACGCTATTTCCCTAAAAAGGCTGATGCAATTAATGACATAAATTGCTCTTATGTTTTCTTTTGTTAAAATTCATAAAACAGTCCTGTTCTGAAGGTTCAATGAGAATAAAGTGAAAACAGCAACTATTCTGAATTAGGGCTCATAAGGGAAGGCAAGCTGACTTTCAGAGAAGCAATTTGTCTGATCTCCAGACCAGCTGCCAGAGTGATCAGAGGGCGAAAAGGAATAACCTGAGAGAATTCAGATATATTAAAAACAACAACAAAAACCACAAAAAACAGGAAGGAGGAGAGAAGGGAGAGGAGGCAGGCGGCAGGAAGGAGAGGAAGAAAGAAGGACAAGAAAAACGGAAGAAAGAAGATACAAGGAATAACAAATTTGCTGATTGTCACTTCATCATGTGTCGAAGTTCTGAATTAAAAGGTAGGCCAGTTTGTGATATTTTTAAACATCTTATATAGAGGAAGTGAGGTAACAAATTAATTAATTGGGGGAAAGTGATTCTTGGGATTGTAGTAGAGTTAGACAGTTCTTTCTATGTTAATAATTCAAATTCTAAAGTTGACTTCCTAGGCAAAGCCAAGTTTTATTTTGTATCACAGGTAGTAAGGGAATCACGGCATTCAAGAGAACCAATTTATTGTTTAGCTCTGACCGGTGGCTGCGTACTCGGATTATAACTGAAGGAAATCATGGCCTGTAGACTTGACTTATGTTTACTTAGACACAACAGACCAAACACTTCCTATGCTAGAACACCATCTGCTCTGTTTTTCATTTTCAAATAGAATCACAATATTATAACTAATCATTTACATTGAGAAAGGTTATATTAAGATAAAGCAAACGCATAACATTCTGTCTGTGGATTATGCTTTTCCTGTAGAGATAAAGAAAAAACACAAAAAACTTAAGTAATTCCATTTTATTTTCTAAGTGATCTTCTTGTGAACAGGAGAGCAGCATCTTTTCACAAAAAGGCTCACATTTAACAGAAAGCCCTGAGAAGCAGTCAGTGTCCTGTGCAGGCAGCGAGAGACCCCGGTTTCTGTCTTGGGTGCGCCTCTTGCTTGCTGCATGTGCTTTAGGGAAATCCTTTCACCTCGGATCCTCAAATCCTGGCGAACACAAGAGGAGGGTGTCTTAGTCACTCCGTGTTATGGCGAGGACCAGAGGTCAACGTAAAGCGCCAAACAGAAGTCATTCATTTTCTCGTCCCCGTAATATTTACCGGCCACCCCCGTCCACACATACACAGGTGATAGTGTTAACGCAAGTAAAGAAACAGGATTATGTTGAAGTTGCTTTTGTTTTCCAGTCCGTGTTCTCTTCATTTTTATGTGACTTTGAGGCCCTCACACATGATAGCATTATTGGGGCTAGAAATGGGATTGTGCTCTCTAAATTACAAAGGAAAGTTAATTGTGTATCTAGAACTTTTCATTGACTTGGGTCCTTAGGGAGAATGCTGTGCAAATCAGCATGGTCTATGTCAGTGAAGAGATGATGATCTGGTAAGCAAAAAACATAAACAAACAAACAAACAAACAAAACCAGTAAGGGGGGCATTCCCAAGGCTGCCCTGGGCACTTGGCTTGTGCAGTGCGAACAGCCAGCCCCCCGCCTCCATGGGCACTCAGAGAAAGACAAGAGGAATGTTCACAGGCGGATCCTAATGGATCAGGTCCAGAAGCAGCTTCCCCTCTGCCTTCCAAAGCTCCAGTCCTCCAGTGCAGGAGGCAGCCAATCAGTGATTCCCTCTCATCATTGGTATTTCTATCTCTTTCTATCCCTTCCTCTCTGAAATCAATAAAATATATATATATATTTTTAATAAAGAGCCTCTTTCAGCTGAAAGAGATACTTTTCTTGCTCGATAGCAACTTGGAGCAGGTCACAGAACGTGGATTGAAGGGTCAGGATGCCCCTAATAACACTGAGCAAGCCACGGACACTCTCTGTGCTTAACAGTGTCATCTTCAAAATAAGATATTTCCATCTCGACTCTCTTCATTCTCAGTGTCACTGTTGTGATAAAATTAGATTGATCTGAAAATCTGTGTAAACTGCATAATCTAATGTGTAAAATAGCCTTACTGTGATTGCTACCTAGGAAGAAAAGGTGAGAGAGAGAGGCTGGGTGCTTTTCTCTCTCTCTCTCTCTCTCTCTCTCTCTCTCTCTCTCTCTCTCTCTCTCTCTCTCTCTCTCTCTCTCAGTGCTCTCCTGTCTCCTCTGATTTTTGTTTTGTTTTCTTTTCCCTCTCACTTCCCAAAAGGCCTGGGGTTTCATTTAGACGCTGTTAGGTAAAACCGGCTGGTCCTGGAGAATGCCAGTCAAGACCCTGGTCCAAACCACTTGCTGGTGCAGCTGGTCAGCCACACCTGACTCAGCAGCCATCCCAGTGGGTGGGGTGTTCCTGACAAGTAGGAGACCAGAAAGAAAGAGAAGAATCCTGGGCCCTTCTTGGGAAGTGGTTCTGATCCAAACAGAAAGGACGCTTGGCCCAGAGGGCATTTTTATGTCAGAGCCACAGAAGGATAAAGCTTGAGCAGCCCGAGTAGCACACTAAGCTGAGAACAAACCAACAGTCTGCTAGTATAATAGAACAGACACTCCAGTTTAGGAGGGTTTAATTGGATGTAAGAGGCACCCTAACACTGCAGAAAGGAAAGTAGCAAGGAGGGTGGCTAGAGAAAAGGTGGTCATCTCCAGACTTGAGGGACTGGCATGCCTAATACCAGGCAGCCATTTAGCTGGATCAAGAATCTCTTTCAGCCCTAGCTGGTTTTGCTCAGTGGTTAGAGCATCGGCCTGTGGACTCAAGGGTCCTGAGTTCAATTCCTGTCAAGGGCACATGCTCAGGTAGCAGGCTTAGATCCCAGTGTGTGTGTGGGGGGGGACCTGCAGGAGGCAGCCAATCAATGATTTCCTCTCATCATTGGTATTTCTCTCTCTCTCCTTTCCTCTCTGAAATTAATAAAAAATATATTTTTAATAAAGAGCCTCTTTCATCTGAAAGAGATACTTTTCTTGCTCTATAGCAACTTGGAGCAGGTCACAGAACGTGGATTGAAGGGTCAGGATGCCCCTAATAACACTGAGCAAGCCACGGACACCCTCTGTGCTTAACAGTGTCATCTTCAAAATAAGATATTTCCATATTGACTCTCTTCGTTCTCAGTGTCACTGTTGTGATAAAATTAGATTGATCTGAAAATCTGTGTAAACTGCATAATCTAATGTGTAAATTAGCCTTACTGTGATTGCTACCTAGGAAGAAAAGGTGAGAGAGAAAGGCTGGGGAAATGTTTCTAGTTTATACTCAAGGAATGAGCCTGGCTTAGTGTAATTTTGAGTATGGAATTAGACACGTGTAGGATGAATTTTAATATATGACAATATTATAAGATTCTTAGTCGTTTTGATTAATCATGTTGGCATAATTGCCTCGCTTTATTGTATAATTCATGTTATGACATTGCCAGGTGCCAGCATAGTTAGTAATGAGTCTTCTGCTTTCATTTCCACCTTTTCCTTAAAAGGTTTATGCAAGGGGCACCTTGGCGTATAAGAGGCACTGTGTTCTGAGGAACATTTTAGGGAAGGAATTTGGGGCACAGGCTGGACTCCTCCCTCACTTACCAGTCACCCCTGTTCTTAGGTCTCATGGTGAGGTGTGAGTCTGGTGCTGGAAATTTAAACTCCATAAGCATCAGACGATGAACATCCATTTTCTCATCTGTGCATGTGGGAATAACAAAAGTACTTGCAGGTCTGTTACTAAATTTAATAAAATAATTTGAGGACCACTGGCGGTGTGCCGGTGTTATGTAAGATTCATTCAGAAGGGAGGTTTTCTCAGCATTGAATAATAATACCTAGGGGAGCTTTGTTATAAGCTTTAGGGATGGGGACAATGTGCAGAATTCTGTATGTCCTCTTTAACTCTTGGGGAGTTGAAATTCTAGCTCCCACCCCTAAAGTCTTAAAAATATACTTTTAGCCCAGGTTGGTGTGGTTCAGTGCTTAGAGCATGCCCCGTGCACTGAAGGATCTCAGTTTAATTCCTGGTCAATTCTGGGTTGGAGCACATGGGGGAAGCAACCAGTAAATGTGTCTCTCTCACATCAATGCTTCTCTCTCCTCTCCCTCCCTCCACTCCCTTCTATACTCTCTTTAAAAACAAACAAACAAAAAAAGAGCAATGGAGAAAATATCCTCTGGTGAGAATTAACAATAAAAACAAGCAAAAAAGTACTTTTATAACACAGCAGAAGGCTCATTTAAGAAGTTCATCACTTTGAAGGATTATAAATGTATCTTTGTGGTAATCAGAAGTTTTAAAAGATCCAGATATATTTAATGCCAGAAACATACTAACTGGGAAGATAAGCTGTACAGGAAATTAGAGAATTGTCTTCCCTTATGGTCTAGAACAGGGAAGTCTTATAAAATTAA